CCTCCGCGCCCTCCGCGCCCTCCGCGCCCGCCGCGTCCTCGGGCGCCGCCGGCAGCTCGGCCTGCAGCTCGCCGTCGCCGCGCTCCAGCAGCGCGATGGCCTCCCGGTGCTGCTGGAACTTCTGCTGCACGATGTTGTCGGCGCGCACGGCGTTGTCGATGATCTGCGCGTACTTGGCGGCGTTGGCGCGGAAGGCCTCGGTGAGCTTGGCGCTGTCGGTGCGCGTCCAGCGCGCGCCGAACTGGGCGCGCAGGGCGGCGTCGGCCTCCTCCTCCTCGCGCAGCATCCGCTCGGCCTCGTCCAGGATGTCCTTGTTGCGCTGCAGCAGCTCGGGCAGCTCGGCCATCAGCCGCCGCAGCTCGGGCAGGCCGCCGGCGCCGCGCACGGCCGCCGCCTTGTCGCGGATGGAGGCGGGCAGGCCGCCGCCGGCCGGCGCCTCGATGCAGGCGGGCAGCGACAGCGACGCCAGGATGCTGTTGAGCAGCTGCGTGGCCTCGCGCAGCTTGTCGATCTCGGCGTTGACGAGCTCGGTGCGGCGCGCGGCGCTGGCCTGCAGCGCCTGGTGCACGGCCAGCGGCACCAGCTGCGCGAACAGGTCGCGGCCGCCGGCCCAGCGCTCGGGCGGCGGCAGCGCCTTGGCGATGGCGGCGCGCGCCACGGGCTCCAGCTGCTGCGCCTCGGGCACGCGGTCGTGGTAGATGAAGTCGTTGTCCTTGACGGCCGCCGCCAGCTGCCGCTGCGCGCGCGCCAGCGCCTCGGCCAGCGGCGCCGGCGCGCCGGAGGACGACGCCAGCCGCGAGCACGCGCCCTTCAGCTGCTCCACGGCCAGCTGCAGCCGCGCGATCTGCTCGCCCACCGCCTGGTTGGCGCGACACGCGAGCGCCTGGTACAGCTGCGTCAGCCCGCGGAACGCCATCTGCTTCGCCGTCACCTGCCGAGCGAGCCCCGCCGTCAGCCGGCCGCCGCCGTCCCGCGGGCGGCGGGCGGCGGGGGACTCACCGTGGGAATCCAGTCTCGGTCCCAGAGCTGGCTCTGCTTCTGCAGCGAGCGCAGCGCGTCCGTGTACAGCTCCTCGCACTGCGCGCACACCTTGGCCACCATGGAGTCCTTCATCTCGTCGCGGATGCACTTGTAGGCGATGACTTCTTGAGCTTGAGCCAGCATCAGCAGCGAAAGTGCCGACAGCGTGTCGGCCGACAAGTCGGGGGTCGGCTCTTGGTGCACCGCAATCAGCACGTTAGCTTTCAAATATTCGAAGATGCCGGCCGCTTGCTGCAGCAACTTGGCGGCCAGCTTCAGCGAGTCCTCGGTGTCGAGCGGCTGCTGCGCCGCCAGCGTGCTCTGCGCCGCGGCCATATTGAATAGCACGCACACGCGTTCGTACGCCAGCGAACTCACCGCTGCACATAACCACCAGCTACTTCACGCAACATCTCACGATGGTACTGAATATCCTTAACTTAGAAAATCGTAGCAGGTTAACTGTACGGTTAATTACCTACATTATAAAAATGTGTGTGTTGCAATATTGGCTCACGCGTGGTGCGTGCCGCATTATTTCAATCAGTGCGCATCGGACACTCGAGTCGATCATTATATCATTATCAATATCAGTAAATCAGTGTATCATTTGTCTTATCATATTATATCATTCATCAATTATCATTTAGTGTAGGCTCATCCTACAAGTAATAATAATACTAATAATAATATCGTAATAATAAGTAATAATAATAATAACGCACACACTCAACAAAGCCCCGCACTAGGGAAACCCTGCATCGCCGGTGCCATGGACATACACATAGACAACCACAAATAACACCCAAACTCACGAGAGAAATAAGTGTAGGCCATACAAATCTTTCTCCCATTCCAGGCATTCCGGCATGGTAACCGTTTGGCCACAGAGGCAGTTAAAAAACTAAGTTAATTAGTTCCGGCACCAAAAAATAACCGAACGAAAACCAGGGCGTCTTGCACAGGTAAGGCTTTCATAAAAAAAGCCCGACAAATATTTGTAACTATTTTGAATTTCATACCACACACAATAAATTATTAGATTCATTAGGTCACTCAATTCAAAAGATTAATCAATTTTCAAAGGTTTCCTTAAATACACAGAGTGTAAAATCTAGATGAGTTTTTTTGAGTTTTCTTTAACAAATGAACCTACATACCTACTCATTTATGATGTTCATCATCTCTGCATAATAATACGATAGTATAGTAGAATAAAAACATATGGGGCAACTCCCGCCTGTTTGGAGCATCAATATCTACACTTCACTGGGAGCGTAGGGTTGTCACATTATTATTTTACTAATCCTACCTACAGGTTGTAAACATAATTTGAAAAAACCCTATATAATACAGAGTGTTAGTATATTGAAATAACGTTTGTCAAATGCTATATGTAAGTGTATTGATATTTTGATATTTTTAGTGCTAGTGTAATTACTATGCGTGTTATATTTATGTAACCAGAATTTAGGCTTTTCTTTCTCTCAACAATTGTCAAATTTTTGGTCATACGTAAGTAAACTTCTACTGGAATCTCCCAATGATAAATATCTAAACCTTAGTGGAATTGAATGGGAACCTTCGCCGTTTGGTGACCGTTCTTATGATCCTGTTAATTAATGTACTGACGATGAGATTTTGCTTGTTGATAAAATTAATGTTCTGAATTTGAAACAATATAACAGTATTAAATAGTATTATGGATGTATTTTAGGCCTAGTTTTGAGTGACGATATTGCTGTTGTTCGAGATAGCAGTATAGAAGCACTCGTTTCGATTGACCGCCATCACGGTGCTCTAATAATTGAACTAGATCACTCCAATGCAGCCAAGTTGAAGGACGCACCATATAAAAAGTTTTTATACAACTGCGCTGTATAAAAGGTTTTTTCTTCTAGATGCTTGAAAGAATGTGTTCATTATTTTTATATGACAACACAACGCTACGTGACAAATACATTCCGACTAATCGAATGACAGATAAGTCTCATCCAAATTGGTATTAGCCGGCCTTAATAAAAATTCTAAAGGAGAAATCGAAGTATCATCGGAAATTTACAACGTATGGAAATAGGGCTGATGAGGAGTCATTTCAGTTATTACGTAAACGAGGTAAAATTGTAGAAAAAGTTTGTTATACTAACTACATCAAGTCCGTTGAAAAATCGATTAGTGTTGACCCAAAATATTTCTGGTCCTATATAAAATCTAAATCTAATGCAATGCCATCTGTAATGAAATATTACGATCATTTGCTAGATTCTGGGGAAACTATATGTAATGCTTTTTCTTCATATTTCAATTCCACCTTTCTTACCCCAATTAACAAGGATTCTTATAAGTTGCTCGCTCCATTTGATTTATCTTTTGTCTCCACTCCTAGTGTTTCTACATATCTAATATAACAGCTAGTCCTGCTGACGTTAAAAAAAGTGACATTAGTCAATTTAAGACGCTTCAGAATCAGCGGGTCCTAACAATGTGCCTGGTAGTTTTCTAATTGGTTGTACTAAAGTCGCTCGCGTTTCCAGTTTGCCTTCTGTTTCAATTGCATTTCCACGTAGATTAAAAGAGCCCTTAGGTTCTCGCATCAGGTGTATGCGCCCCGACAGTATCGAATTTGGAATTTGTGCAAGAAGAGACGAAAATTATGTACATGCAACAGAGCATCGACAATACATCAGAAAGGAAATTCAACTTAAATAAAAATATTCAAGGTCCCCTGGTCATGCCGCCAGTACAAAAACCGTTCGCTCTACCTGCACAAACGCCTACGACTATGAATGTACCTTTTCAGCGTCGATCACTGGAAAATACTTCTAATTTTCAAATGAATAGACCTCTTCAAGGTCCCTCTCGCACTCAACAGATGTTCCGCGCCCTGCCATCTAACTATAAACTATAACCCTCAGAGCGCTGTTTTTAAAATACCACCTAGAAATCAACCCTTTAGTTCAGGCTCTAAGGGTCGTATTCCAAAACTGTACTCAATGCACAAGTCAGGATCTGATTGTGATTTCAAACACTGGAAATACGACCCTAATGGCAGGGACTTGAGTTTGATTTCGAGTGTTTGAAACCATACTCAAATCCTGACTTGAGCATTGAGTAGAGTTCTAGAATACGACCCCAAGCCTATGAGTGGCGTAAGTAATTTTCAATCTAGACAATTAATGCCTAATAGTTTCCATAATGGTCGTAATTGGACGAAATCTGGTAATCCACCACCCAGTAATTACTTCAAATCTCGTGAGTTAAATTTGAATGAGTGTTCTGGTTATGATGACTATAATTACTATCCTGAATTTTACTCTGACCCTGAAACTTACTATTATTATCCCGAGAATCCCGATTATAATGACTGTAATGTTACGACTTATGAGCGACTATCAAGCGCATAATTTGACTGAATCCGTAGACGACAACAACTGTGAACTTAATCAACCTTATCCTTCTATTTGCAATAATCCCGCGCAGGATTTTCCACCAGTACAACCTACAAAAAAGCCAAATAGAAGTTCATCTTCAAACGCAAAGACAACTTCCATTTATTCAAATCTCTAATCCCCCATTGAAGCTTCTTATTGATACTGGAGCAAACCAATCTTTCATTAACCCCGATGTAGTTCAAAATCATTACCTACATTTCAACGCGTCATGGATAATATGCTCAGAGATCTACAACATAAAGTTTGTCTAGTATATTTAGGCGATATTATCATGTTTAGTGCCTCGCTACAGGAACATATGGTCAACCTGGAAAAGCTTTTACTAGACTCCGAGAATCGAATTTTAAAATTCAAATGGACAAGTCCGAATTTTTAAGATTGGAGAATGCGTATTTTGGCCATATCTTATCTTATATTTTGGCCATGTGATCGGCAGAGACGGTAATTAAACCGAACCCCGACAAAGTAGCAGCCATAATGAAGTACCCTATTCCTAAAAGCCCTAAGGAAATTAAGCAATTCTTAGGCCTTGTAGGATACTATAGAAAATTTATCCCCGATTTTGCTCATCTCATTAAACCATTAAATCGATGTTTAAAAAAAGGAAAGAAAGTTACATTAGATAATGATTATATTAACTGTTTGAGAAATGCAAAACTCTATTGACTAACGACCCGATATTACAGTTTCCAGACTTCGACAGGGAATTCCTATTAACGTCAGACGCTTCTAATGTGGCCATAGGAGCCATACTCTCACAAGGACCCGTAGGAACAGATAAGACTGTGTGCTATGCCTCGAGAACTCTGAATGACAGTGAATGCAACTACAGTACCATAGAGAAAGAGTTGTTAGCAATTGTATGGGCTACTAAATTTTTCCTATTTGATCGCAAATTTAAGGTACTCACAGACCACAAACTACTACAATGGGTAATGAATCTAAAGGAGCCTAACTCCAGATTAACTCGGTGGAAGTTAAAACTTAGCGAGTATGACTTTACAGTAATTTACAAAAAAGATAAAAACAATACAAACGCCGACGCCCTCTCCCGAGTTGAAATACATAATGAGGAAATAAGCTCTATCGTAGTCAACCCCTCAGAAAAACCGCCATCCATTGCTAATAACTCAAGTACAGAAACAGTTCATACTAACCTAGAGCACCCAATCCTTGAAGTTCCTATTACGGATGAGCCCTTAAATAAATTTCATAGACAAATTGTTATGACTATTGTAGGTGACTTACAACGGAGACCAACGCGGACTTCCGTACAGATTTCTGAGGATGTAGTGAAAACCATCAAAGAGTAGTACGTAAAGCCTACAGTAAAGACTGCCTTATTGATAATTCCGCCTCTCGGAATGTATGACATCATACCAATAATTCAAAATAACTTTAAAAGTTCGGCTATGAATCTTGTATAATAAAAACCAAACTCGAAAACGTAAAGGAATATTTACGACAGCAGGACATTATTAAGAACTACCATGATGGAAAAACCAATCACCGTGGTATAAATGAATGTTTCCTAAGTCTTTCTAAAAGATATTTTTGGCCTAAAATGAGGGAACAGATTACTAAATTCATAAGCGAATGCACCACGTGTGGTCAGGCCAAATATGATCGAACCCCTATCAAACAAAGATTCATCATTGTACCTCCTGAAATACCATTTGAAATAGTCCATGTAGACCTATTTACAGCACAAAATGAAAAATATTTAACTATAATAGACGTTTTTTCAAAGTACGCTCTAGCCTACTATCTTCGTGACGGTACGCTCTTAGCATCATTCAAAGATTACTGCATTTATGTACTCACCACGGTCTTCCATTAACGTTAGTGACTGATAATGGAATGGACTTCACAAACCAATTATTTACCCGAATTTACCCAGCTACATAAAATACAACACAACATAGAAC